GGAGGCTCGGAGCTGCTCAGGCGTCGGGTCTTGGCCGGAGGGCCCCCATCCGGGCGGTCCATGGTGACCGCGCTCACACAGCTCAGGGAATCGCGCTCACCCCTTCGCTCTCGGCCGGGCCGCCGCTGCCAGTAACGCTAGAAGCGGAGCCACCGAGCCTCACGCAACCAGCTCTCCTCCGCGCCTCGTTCTGACGCTCCCTCCCACAGCGCCTGCCCTACTCCCTCCGCGCCAGTCGCCGAGGCCCTGCCTACTCCTTGACGCGAGGAGCCCGTTCTACCTTGCCATTGGCTGCGGGCCGCCGCGGCGACGCTCGCCCTCCCTCGACCCCTGCCCGCTCTCACGCAATCTGCTTGCCAACACTACACATCATCACTTTCCCATTGGCTCCCCTCGGACCCGCCAATCAACGGCTGACTCCCCCAGGAAAGCTGCAGGGCGATTGGCTGCAAGGAAAGCTAAGGAGAAGAATCCGCTCTCCCTCACCGTTTCACCATTTCATCCAATGGGAAATGTACCAGTGGTTCTGAAGACCAAAAAACAAGACGAAAAACAAACGCAGGCGCTGAGCAGGATGTGCTCAAAATTGGGAGAGCCTCGCTATCGCCCCCCGCCCCCTCCCCTCAGCAACTACGCACTTTAAAAATCTGCCCCTGCCCCCATCCGCTGCTTCTGCCCCTGGGGTGAGCTTTGCTGTAGCTCCTTGGACTCGTGCTATCCTACGCGCGCCCGCAATTTGGGCACCCAGGACGTTTGGTTTGGGGGCCAGGTTTTGACGTGGCGTTTTCTATCTCTGCAAAATGGCTCTAGAAATAATAATCACACATAAAAAAAGTAACTTCCTCTGCGTCATAAAAACAATTGTGATTCAGCTCACCCGCTAGATTTTTCTAGGACTTTCTATCTCTTCATGCACTAAACATCTTTCCTTCTTTCCATCCTTTCCGCTTTCTTTCCCCAGTGTATGCTGTGTTTTAAGGTTTTTCTTTTTAACTAGAGTTGGATGGTCTTTTGTGAGGCATGGCGGTGCAGTTGTGGCTTTCGTTCTGGGATCCATGTCACGGGTGTGCTCCTCGTTTTGTAACCCTAAGCAAATCACTGCCCCTCTCTCAGCTTGTTTCCTTTCCTCTAAACTAGGCATCCCTAAAGAGAGGTGTCGGTAGCTTTGTTGTGGCAGCAGAACATTGGCAGACAATCTAGAGATCCATCACCAGGGGAATGGATAAGAAAAACGTGATATATGTTTAAGATGGACCACTAGAATGAATTAGATCTACATATGGCAACCATGGCTGGATCTCTCAAAAACAGAATGTAGAGTGAAAAAAGAAACAGAACGAGATTTATAGTACAATACTGTTTATGTAAATTAAAACACACAACAATACCATATATTTTTCACAGATACATATATGTAAATAAACACATGAACGGTGGATTGGAAGGACAAACGTTAAGTACACGAGAGTGGGTGCCTATGGTGGGGAGAATGGGATCAGGGGTGGGTGATGGAGGGGACAAAACAAAACAAAATAAAGAATAAAAGGGCCTCACATGGACCAACAATGATACAGTGTGCCAAGAACTGAGGAGTATGGTCAACTCAATTCTGTGCACCTCAGAGAATAACTAAATAAATAGTAAATTAACTGAATGCCTAGGGAGCAGGCTGGCTGGGTAGACTCCCAGGGTTGGGATTTTCCCCCCTGTGACATCCCTCCCTCTGAATTTGGTCAAAGCTGGCCAAAGTCCTAGCTGTGTACAGTGGACCCTTAGGAAGGGCTCCTAACCCCGACTGAGCAGTCGCTCCATAAGTCATTATTTTGTGGGGGGCCTTTCCTAACCCTATCACTCCCCCTCATGTTTGATCCCCAATTTCCACTCCCCCTTCTCCATGGCGGTCCAATTTCAGGAACACCTTGTTTGAGTTTGGGAATGAGACTGAGACAGGGGTTGGGAGTAGTCCCTGAGGCTCTAGGATTTGGGAGATGAGGTTTTCAAGTATCCTGCTCCCTTCCTGTGCTGAGAGCCTGGGCCAAGGGAGGCCAATCTCACGAGATGGGAGTCTACCCTCTTGCTACCTATATACGTACCATTTCCAAGTTCCATCTCCTGACCACTCTACTTCTTGCCGCAGGCACATATTCTAATTTGTCTCCTCTAACTAGAGGAGTGTGTTTGTGTGTGTGTGTGTGTGTGTGTGTGTGTGTGTGTGTGCGCGCGCATGTGCTGTATATGTCTCCACGTACAGGCATTTGCTCACACGTGTGCACCGGCAAGTTTTCCTCAAGGGCGCCTCCCCACACAAAGTCACACAGACACACTGTCTCAATCAATGATGCCTCTTCACATGTGATCACACAGGATACACGGACACACACACACACACACACACACACACACACACACAGAGTCAGAAAGAGAAAACATCCAATATAGCATTGTTCATTTCAGTTTTTCCATTTACAAAATCCAATGGTGAATCCAGGCAGTTAGAAAAAAGAAATGGAGGAAAACCCTCCTAAATGTACCCTATCTACCCCCTACCCCTTTGGTCTTCCCACCCCAACCCCTTGGAAAGGCACCCCCATCACTATCACCGAGAGAACAGGCTCCCCCACTCCTGCCTCTCAGCCACTCTGGCCTGCCTTTCCAGGGCCACTCCACAGCCAGGCTCATTAATGTCTCTCCTGCCTAGAGTGCCCTCCCCATTCCTTTTGGGTCAGGCTTCCCCAGTTCTGGGGCTGTCTTGGGGTCGAGAGGGAGCTTAGGACAGGGGCTTCTATTGAGAAGGGAAAGGGGGGTGGATAAATACAGATGCCCACTCCCCCCCTCCCGCCCAGGAAATGAGAGGGAGGCAGAGAGCCTGGGCAGGGCCAGGCAAAGGAGTGCCAGCTTGGCTCACCCATCCACAGAACTGGCCTTAAAGTAAGCCTAGAGTGGACTCTGCCCCTGGAAGGGAGGCTTGGGATCTCCCACCTGGAGAATCTGGTTTCGGTCTGCTCCACTTTGGGTGTAGGTAAGGGTGGAGGGAGGAAGGGGCAGAAGGGCTGTTGGGAAAAAGGATGTTTGCGGCTGAAGACCCAGAAGGCCAAGGGCTTCCAAGTAGGGGCTTGAGGCTCCTGAGGCTTGAAGGAGTCAAAAAGAGGTCAGATAGGAATGGACTCAAGTCCACAGTGCCTTGGAGTTTATACGACTAACAGTTACCCAGGCCCAAAAGGAATTTTCTTCTTCAGAAGAGTAGTGTGAACCCAAGGCTCTGTGGTCCAGCTACTCTGGGGAGTTTGGCTCCCTCCCTACACTCCCCTGGGAGGCCGTTCCTGCCTGTATGGCACCCACATCAGCCCTAGTGGTGCTGGAGTGGATTTCCATCCTCAGGAAAAAGAGTTGGAGGTAGGGGATCCAGAAGGCAGCACAAGAGAAGGCAACCAAGCTTGGGTCTCTTCAGCTTGAGGCGTTCAGCTCACATTCTGCTCTTCAGCTAGCCTCAGCCCACCCTGGGGGCCCTTCTCCCTACTTTCTTGGCTTCTCCAACAGGTGTGCAAAACCACTTGGGAGGTCTGGACATGGTGGGGAGGGAGAAGAGACTGGGCTTGGGGCCTGGGTTGGCCTAAAACAGCATTGCACACAATATAGCAATTAAACATTTCTGCTTCCTGGGGACCCAGCACCCCCTTTGGTTCCTCTCGCCAGCAGCCTTGGATCAATTTCTTCCTAAACATCCAGGCATTGCTAAAGGACTTAGAAGGAGAGGGTGCATGGGAACAGAGGGGGCAATAAGAGCTCTGGAAGTCTATTTTACAGGACAAAATTCCCCCTTCTGGACAACATCAGAAGGAGAGACATTAAAGCAAGAAAGCCTGTCTCCTCAGTTGTTAGTAGAAAAACCTGCATTCTCAGTTTTGTTCTGTTTTTCTGAATTGTTGAGAGAGAGAGAGAGAGAGAGAGAGAGAGAGAGAGAGAGAGATAGAGAGAGAGATTGTAGAAGTAGAGAAGGAGGCAGTGGAGACAGGCCCCACAAAACTAAATATGCCTCTTTCCAAGTCCCCTGCCCAGTCCTTCACTCTGGGGAGATGTTGGCAAAGGTGCCTAGATTACGGGTGGTTCGAGGGGGCTGGGGCTGGAGCTCAGAAAGGAAGGCTCCTGTAGGGGCCTCACTCCTCCCTTGCTGTTGGCTCCATCATGGTGGCCATGGCCTTCTCCCTGCCTGTCTGCCTACCAGCCTGCTTCACATGACACAGTAGGGTTCTCTGGGAGCCGGGGCACCTCCTGTGCCCCAGCAGGGGGCGTGAGTCCTCAGGCACTTCTTGAGGTCCTTGTTGAGCAGGAAGCAGACGATCGGGTTGACGGCAGCCTGGGCGAAGCTCATCCAAACAGCAGTGGCCAGGTAGCGGTGGGGCACAGCGCAGGCTTTCACAAACACTCGCCAGTAGCAGGCCACAATATAAGGTGACCAGAGGAGCAGGAAGAGCAGTGTGATCGCGTAGAACATGCGGCCCAGCTGCTTTTCACCCTTGACCTCGTCCATGCCCAGTAGCCGCCGGCTGGCTGCATGCCCATTTTGCCGGATACCCAGAAGGGTTGGTGGCATGGGCCCACGGCCAAAGCCAGCGATCCAGTTGGCAGCAGCCTGGCCGGTAGCCCCAGGGCCATGGAATGTCCAGTTCTGGCTGATGGCTGGTACCATCTGCACTGGCTTCATCTTGCGGTGACGATACTCGAAGAGGAGCAGCTTGCCATAGACAGCATGTGTGGCTGCCATGAGCACAGCCAACATAAGCATGAAGCCCAGCGTGTCATTGGCTTTGAAATAGCGATGCTCAAAGATGCACTGGTCCTCCTCCCGGATAAACTTGTAGGTGCCCACGTCGAAGACAGGTGGGAAGGCCATGGCTACAGACAGGGTCCAGGCCATGCAGATGACAGCTGCGCATGTCCAGAGTGTCATGCGCTTGGCGTAGAAGCGGTGGTGGGCGATGGCCATATAGCGGGTGACGCTGATGCAGAACAGCATGAAGGCCGCATGGAAGCAAAAGAGCACAGCCATAAAGGCCACAATCTTGCAGCTGAGTGCACTGAAGGTCCATGAGGAGCCGTGGCGCACAGAAGCCAGCACAAAGGGGAAGCAGACGGCAGAGCGAATGCCATCGGCCAGGCACAGGTCCAGCAAGAAGTAGTAAGGAGCCTTGTGCAGGGCACGCTCCTTGAGCACCAGCAGGGACAAGATGGCGTTGCCTGCCAGGCTCACACACATAATCAGTCCCAGCAGCACCAGCTTCACATAAGCCGATGCTGACGGTGGGGACAGTGTGCCGCTCACCTCCTCAGGCTCTCCGGTGGTGTTGGCCATACTGAGGGGCAGGGGCTACAGCTAACCCTATGGGGTCAGCCAGTCCAGTACTCGATGGGCCCTGGGGGGCTCCATCAGTTGTCCTGCTGCACTGCACCTGCAAATGGGGGCAATGGGAGGAGACACAGACACAGAGAGACAGAGAGATGAGGGCAGGAGAGAGACAGAGAAAAACTCAGACACACAGACAGAGTGGGAAAGATAGAGATAGAATAAAGATAGAAAAATGGTGAAAAGATATAAATGGATATAAATTGACATAGAAATAGAAGGAATGAGAAAAAGTGAGGAAAGAGAGAAAGAAGGAAGGAGGGAGGGAGGGAAGGGGGGGAGAGAGAGAAGAAAGGTAGTGAGAAAGAGATGGAAAGGAAAGGTGAGGAAGAAACAGAAAGGGCAGGGTTAGTGTGTCTACAAGCCCTCCCCACTTATGCCCCAGCTGGTGTCAGGCCCTGCCCCTGGACTATGCCTACTCCCTCCTTGTTGGGTGAGGATGTGTCATTTCTCTGGATGTCCTTGGTTACCTGTTCCTCCATTGGTGGGTCTGTGGGGTGGAGATGCTGGTGCAGCTCCTCTCCCCCTTTGTAAAGTCCTAAGATCATGTTCAGACTTTTTTGACTGCCACTCATAAGTCAAAAATACATTTCACATCATAACTTGCTACACATATATGCATGCACATACACAGCTCAATCAAAAGTTTCACAGAACAGTACTGATCCTATATGTAATGTAGCCCATTTGATTTTATTCTATTTTATGTATTCTTAAAATGCTGGTAGCCACTAATTAAATAGATTTCTTTATTCATGATCAGGAATGTGCTTAGCATGCTTGCGGAACAGCAGGAAGACCATGTGGCCAGAATGGCGAGAGCGAGGGAGACAGTGGTAGGAGGTGAGGTTGCAGAGTTGTCCAGGGCTAGATCGTGTAGAGCTGTAGGCCGCCCTGAGGACCTTGGTTTTTGTTTTAGGTGAGGTGGGGAGTATGTGTGAATATAAAGATGTAGGTATGCTTGTGTATTTGTTCATACACTGAAAAAACATTTATTGAGCATCTGCTATGTGCCAGGCACTATTCAAGGCACAGGGGTTACAGATGTGAACCAGATGGATAAAGCTCTCACCCTTGTGGAGCTGACATTCCAGATAATAAAGAAGAAAGACGAATGGAGTATAAGATGATAAGTGTCAGATGATAAGTTCCTAAGACTAAACATAAAGAACAGAAGGGGGATAGGAAGTGCTGAGGGTGAGGAAGATGTTGCAGTTTTAGATGAGGTGTTCAGGAAGGTTTCATGGAGGAGGTGTCATCTGAGCACAGATCTGAAGGAAGTGAGAGAGTGAGCCATGTGGCTATCTAGCAGAAGAGAAGTCCAGGCAGGGGGAACAACCAGAGCAAAGGCCCTGAGGTGGAGCTATACATTGCACTTTTGAGGAAGGGCTAGGAGACCACTGTGGGTGGAACAGAGTGAGCAAGGGGAAAGTGGTAGCAGGTGAGGTCAGAAAGGTGGTGAGGCCAGATCATAGAGGCCATGACAAGGGCTTGGACTTTGATTCTTAGTTGGATTAGATGGGAGTCATGATAGGATTTTGAGTAGAGGTCAGCTGCGATATAATTTAGGATTGAACAAGATCGCTCTTGCTGCCGCAAGGAGAACAGATCATGTGGGGCACGGGTGAAAGCAGGGAGACTACTCAGGAGGCTCCTGTAGCAATACAGGCCAGAGATCATAGCGCCTCCATTCCCTTTCCCTCCTCGATTTTTCTTCCTATAATCTCTCTCTTCTAACACACTATGGAATTTACTTTTAAATTTGGTTTGTTGCCTTGCCTCATCCTATCGGAATGAAAGCTCCACGAGGGAAGGGATTATAGACTCGCTCACTTCCCTCTAGGGGACCACATGCACAATTAATTGATTGAGGGACTAAATGGGCTGGGGGATCAGAGAAGCTTCCTGGAGACATCCAAACAGTATTTGCTAACAGAGCCGTCTGGGGGAGTTCATCTGGCAATGAGAGCAACAGAGCGGAGCTTGGGGGAAAAGCAGGAGAGCTCTAGGATGTGATAACGTGGGGATGTGATAAAGTAACAGGGCAGGTCCTAGAGGGAAGGCAGCAAGACAACTAGGCAGAAGCTGGAGAAACTGAGGATTTGGATTGGGACTGGGGCTGGGCTGCGCTGGGGTCAGGGGAGGTGGAATGTGAGTAGTATCTTCCTACTACCTCCCTCCCAGGAACTGTCTCCCCTCTACAACTGTTTCCCAGATCAATCCAACTGGCCTGCCATAGCTACCGGGGGCCAGGCTTTTTTGATGGCAATCTTAAGTCTCAGGGCCCATGCCCGTAGGCCACTCTGGCACCTCGAATGTGGTAGGGCAGGGGCTGAGGAGGAGTGGGGTTGGTGGGCCTTCTGGCAGCCCCTCAAGGGCTAACGGCCCCCTCAGAACTGTGGAACAGTCCGCGCTGGGTGGGTGTAAATGCGCACGCCCGCCACCTTTGCCTTGAGGGTGAAAAGGATCGAGACAGAGACAATGTAAGAGAGAGTTGGAGAGATGTGTGAGACGAAGGCATACAAAGAAGAAAGAGAGAGAGAAATAGAAAGGGGAGAGAACCTTACACACAGAGCAGAAACGATAGAAACACGAAGAGTGAAAACAAGAGTGAGAAAAAAGGCGCACACACGTAACCAGCACGACAGACAAAGAAGAGTGAGAGATAGAGATAGAGATAGAAAGAAAAAAGAGAGGGGGAGGGAGAGAGGGATAACGCTGGGAAAGAAAGGAAGAAAAATAGAGAGAGAGATGGGGTGGAAGTGGAGCATGAGAGACAGAGGCAGAGATAGAGACGGAGCGACAGAAGATGGAAATAGAGAGGGAAACACAGAGAGCCACACGAAGACCGAGAAGATGGCTAATACGTAGCCCAGAGTCTCAGTGAAAACAAAAGCTAAAATTAAAAAACAACCAACCCCCCTGAAACAATAGCAGCAAACAAAATCCTGGTGTAGCCGGGAAAGCTAGGGAGATTCTCTCGGTAACTGAGAAGAGGGTTCTCCGGGGCAGACTAGCAGTCGCAGCCCAGCCCAGCTGAGGAACACACGCGCACCTGCTCTGCCCAGACACCTGCACATCACGCTCCACGCGCCGCCTACTGTTGTGGGGGCCCGCGGACAGTAACCAACTCTCTCCCCCCCTCTCTCTCTCTGACACACACACACGCGGGGGCGGAGGTACATCTTGTACTCCGCAGCGTTCACACAGGTACTCAGTGTACCCTGCCTAAGCACCAGCGCCTCGTCCTCAACAAGGGCGTTACTGCCCCCTAGAGGACATTTCGGAAATTTGTAGGAGCATTGTTGGTTGCCACAATGCTAGCGTGTAGGGTTCCTTCCTACATTTAGGGGTCCAAGGTGAGGATGCTGGCCATTCAGGGATATGCAGGGCAGTCCCACGAATCCAGAAAATGTCCTGAAATCCTTCAGGACTTTGGGCGTGTAATTAGCTTAACTTAGAATCGAACTGTTTCCCAAACACCATTTTTTCTCTTGGTATTAACATACCCTGAGTTTTATCCAGGAATGTGGTTGTCATGTCAAAGTACAGAGGAGACTGTACTTTGGTTTGCAGTGTGCTTTCCTTGGAGTCGTGCACCGTTTCAGGAAATCTCACCCCAGGTTTTCGCCTGTCATTTTCCTACACTTCCTGCCTCTGACGTTTCCTCCTCTTCTAAATCCGTGTTGACTCATTACAAGCCAGTAGGAGCCTTTAATCACTTCCTTGAATCTCCTGGGGGGTGTCACAGCCAAGCATTTACATATTGAAATACAAATTATCTTCTTATAAATCACTTTCCCTTTATTTCTTATTTGTATTATAGTTAATACAATATGAATATTATATAAATTACTATGTGGACTTTTTTTGAAATTACATGTGCAGAGAGATATTATCTAAGAACTTCATTTCCAGATAGTAAAGAAGTGTTACAAAATATGTTACATAAAAGAGGGCATTGGGTATGAGAGGGCTGAGAATTGCTCATACACACAAGAAACACTCAGATACACACACACACACACACATGCAATGACCCACAAAACCACATTTATAACTCCCCAACATATACACACACACACACACACACACACACACACGAACTCTCAAACACTGACAGATAGGTACACACAAGCATGCCTCCTCACATATACTTTCACTTACACACAGACACATATAACCATAGATCCGGTATACCTAATTATTCAAATCCTCTCACATATTCAGACAAACTCTCACAACACAGATATGTACAAAGTAGCATATCGATATCATCACATATACAAACACTGTAACACACATTGACACTCAGATTCAAAGTCACTTACATGTGCTCATACGTACCTGAACTCTGACACGTGTACATATGCTCACACACATACAGAAGTATGGATACATAGAATCCCCTTCAGACACCTACAGATTTTATATAATATTCATATCTGTATTTTTTTCTCTGCACTGAGGAAAAATAGGCAAGTAAAAAACTGCTCACATATACACAAACACTTTAACACCAAGACATGAATTCAGATTCTCTCACATAGATTAGGTACACTCACCAATGCAAGATTTGGCACATACAGACACACACACCCATTCACATACACACTCTTACCCATGAACAGAATTGTAACAGCTCCAACACACACACGAACAGAGCCACACTCACTCACGCACACACAATTTTAGCAATATGTAAATACAAGCAAATACAAACATAAGAATCACCCATGTATCCAGATGCTCTCTTGTACACACAGACACGTACACATGGGCAAACGTGTGTTCACATACAAACTTACTCACACATGTGGATATACTTAACTGATATATACATCCTGCAACAGGTATGTCCCCAGAGCTAAACCTGCTCACGTGCACAGACCAGCTAACTCCTGCACCTGTAGGTGGAAATATGAGCAGCACTGCCCAGCTGGTAGGCTCCTGCCATAGCAGAGGGCCAGAGCAAGAAAGGTTCCAGGAAGGTTGTAAACGTTTTCATTGTTTTCTGGTGGGACACCAAGATAGTCTGAGTATTAC